CCATCAAATGGCTGAAAGTAGTAGGTATGTATCGAACAGACGTAAACGTTGGAGGAAGAGATAATATTGACTCATCCTTACATACCAATTGCATTGACACCGGCCTCTCCCCCGGTTCTCCAGGGGGGCTAAAAGGCAAATTTCAGTTAAATCAGAGGATCCTCGCGAAAACAGTGGCGCGAGCTTGCAACGAAGGTAGCCGCGCCATGAGAAAGCGATATACCAGCACCTCAAACATGTACTCTTATGCATTGATGCATATCAACCTGTCAACATAGATGTTGAAGCAGCTGTGACGTTAAAAAGATTGTTTCCTCTTGAAGGGCTTGGAGAAGCGAGCAAGCACGTGCAGGTCTTTTTCGACGATGGTATCCCCATAACCGAACATATGAACAACCGCAAACACCATGTAACATCGCACCCAGCCCAGAAGACGTGATCTTAGTTCCAAAAAGAATGCAGCAGACATCGGTGATGGTATTCCACTCGGTGACTTCTGACGGTCACGTGGGGCCCCCTTATTTTACGGAACCGGGAGGGGGTTCGCCATTACAGGGTACCTAACCATTATTCCGGCAGTTCGAATCAACAAGATGAAAGAAGGCAACATCCTGCATGGAGTGATGCTCTTCGAGGAGTCAGCTCCCCGGCATACAGTAAATTAAATACAAAATCTCCTGAAACGGGGGATCCCGCAAACTGTACCCAAGGGAAAATGTCCCCTTCCTCATTAAACCTCAGCCCACACAAGTTCTGGTTGCTGGGGCGTTTTTGCGGGTGAGTCTAACGAACGTCCCCATATGACTGTGGTGAGCCTCAGCAGTGCCAGTTGGCTACAATTACGAGCCATTTCAGACGGGAGATCTCGCCGCGCGTGCGGCCAGTCCAGGCACCGATAAGGACTGATGCAGGTGGACCACGGTGACCATATTTGGTGAAAATGTGTAAAATTGGTGTGAAAATATGTGATCCAAATTTGAAATGCCTATGTTTACAAATTTCTAAGCTACGGCGTTCTAAATGCAAATATGTATTTTGTCCCAATTTATCTGCCCAACCCCTGTATATCAAAGATTTTGCCACTATTGCAGCACCGCTTTTTCGGCTTACAGGCAAGGATGTCCGTTTTCAGTGGTCTCCGGAAGCAGATGACTCGTTCGTGGAGCTCAAGAAGGCTCTCAGTGAGGCTCCCGTTGTAGCCTTTCCCAGGTTTGGCGAGGGAGGAGGTGTGTTCACGTTGGACTGCGATGCCAGCGACAAGGGTATCGGCGCTGTCTTGCTTCAGGAGCAGGATGGCGTCGAGCGAGTGATTGCTTACGGTAGCCATGCCCTGTCGAAATTTCAGAAAAATTATAGCACAACTAAGAAAGAGCTGTTAGCATGTGTTGTGTTCACCCCAAGAGTTTGCTCATTACTTGAAGGGTAAAGAGTTTAGATAGCGCACCGATCATGGTAGCTTACAGTCAGGGCCTATTTTAACATGTTAACTGGGGTGGCAAAACCCACCCCAGTCGTGCAGGTTTCCACCCCAGTCATCTTACTTTGCCACCCCAGTGAAAAACAGCCCAAAAGTCTGCCCACAGATATTAGCTGCCGACAGTCACGGAGGCAACACATTATTGAGACGCAACTCAGCTTGACAGGGGGAAAGGGCTGTCACTGAGGCGCTAACACCACCAATGGGATGCCCTCTCACTACTGGGGGCGCCCTACTTTGATTGGGACACATTACCGGTAATAGGGCACCCTACCACGACTGAAGAGCCCTATCAACATTGGGGCGCCCACGGTGACTATAAATAGGGCGGCGCCCAGACACGATTGGGGCGCCAACCACCTTTGGGCGCCCTATCAGAAATGGGACGCCGACGCCGTACCACTACTGGGGCGTCGTAACACTAATGTGACGTACCGCTGGTGCTGGGGCGCCCTAAGTTTCTGGTGCACCCCACCGCCACGAGGCACCCTACCACCACTGGGGCGCCCACCACTACTTGGGCCTCCGGCGCCCTGCTACAATGGGGCGCCCTACCATCACTGGGCGCCCATCACCATGGGGCACCCCACTACTCCTAGGACACCATCCCACTCCTTGGGCGCCCTTTCACAATTTGGTTCCGTGCCACTCCTTGGGCGCCCTTTCACAATTTGGTTCCGCACCACTCCTGGGACGCCCTGCCTGTAGTGGAGGGCACTTAACTACTAGGACACCCTACTATCACTGCGGCGCTTTACCGTGGATACTCAACAGGGCGTTCATTGGCTCATTGGTCTGTTCAGTGGGCGCCAATCACAGACAGCTCAGTAAGCATGCCGCGTATGAAATCACTGTTTTAGACGCATACATAAATAAATATGCCTAATTGAATCTAAAAATATAAACTATGCATTTTATATAGTTCTGCTGCTGAATAAAAGATGGCTGCCCACTTAGCACATGCGTTTAAAGGCCGGGTGGTGAGACTAAATGATTACTTCGAAATCTAAGCTGCGTTGCGGCATTGGCGCCTGGCGGTTATGTGCGGCGTGTACAGGGTGTATCAAAAGTTCGTTGACAGGTACCAGCCATGCATTTTGTCAATAATTCTGAATCAGCAAGAAACTAACAGTCGAAATTTTGCATGGGCATTGGTAACAGCGTTCCTCAAGCAGTTTCAGTGTTTTCAAGTGCATTTGACCCTTCATGAGCTCACAAAAAGGGTTCACATCTGACCATGAGTCAGGCACGAAAATGGAGGTCGCAAAATCGGGTCGGCTGAGAAACTCTCTGTTTCAGGAGTAATGGGAATGGTTAAGTCGGAAATGACACATGACAAAGTGTCGGCGAGGATGAGTACAACATGATGATCATCTAATATAAACGGTCGCTAAAATTTTTGAGGGACGAAACTATGCGAGACTAGCAGCGTTTTGAACGACCCCCGTACGGCAGCAGACTCGTGCTCCGGAAAGCAGCTGAAAATGCAGTCATAACTATTGAAAACTGACTAGAAGCTCACAAACAGAGGTTACCCAGTTTCAAAAATTACAGGTCATCATATAATAAAGACAAAGTATCATTTAAAATTGTTTATAATATCTATAACGCTAAATTTTGGGGGAAAATAACACGAAAATCGTCGATAAAGGACAACTGACCCTCCAAAAGTGTCAATTAATGTTAAGTTTTATCTCACGAAGTTTCAAGAGGCAGATTTGGAGCAAATTGGTTTCTTTTAGATATAAAATCCCGACAAAACCGCACGATGGACAGGTTTTGGCCGTTTACAAAGCAGAACCTCTCCTGAGGAAAACACTCCGCAACCCAGCGAAGGTCTTAGCATGGGGAATGACGAGGGTTTGAGATTTGCAAAATTTGCAAAATGTGTCTAAAAAACAGATGGCCGACACATTCTGCTACGATATGCTGCGAAACATATGCCCCTGGCACTTCCATTTGCTCAGGAATGGGGTTGTTTTGAAAAGGAAAATGGTGATTGGGAGGTCGGCGCCAGTCATTCATGAAGGAGTTAGCGCCAGAGAAGACCTACAAAATACTCACGGATGGTGTCGATGCAACCTGTCGGCTTTCGGGGAGAAGCGGATGTTGCCGGGGAGCTCGTCAAACCTAAATCCGACGCAGAAACTGCAGGGGATTCCCCTACAAGACCTTGAAAGCTGGTAACCTTTTATCAGCCTTCGGCAGCTGACGGAGCCACGAAAATGGTATGGGCAAATATTTTTGTAGATACAGCGAAAGGTGTTTTCAACCTTCCGAATCAGATTATCAGTTGTCAAAGCATACATATTTGTCTAGTGTACACACAGACACCAAAACCTTAGATTTTTGGCCAGTTTTATTACGAGCAAGCGAGCGCAGCGAGCGAAGCGAAGTCTTTTCAATATAACGGAAAAATCTCAGTATGAGCGGCCCGGCCCGGCCCGGCCCGGCCCGGCCCGGCCTGTAACGCTTTTGAGAGGCTTATATCTCAGCAACCGCTGGACCGATTGGCCTGCGGTCTTTTTTGCTGGGTAGCCCCATCCCTTCTACCCCGTAATTGACTACTTTTGATACATCTCAGTGACCGTCGTGGCACCTGCCACGTGAAAAGTCAAGGGTGTTCAAGCAGTTTTGCAAAAGTAATGATTTTGAGAGGCCCATATCTCAGCAGCGACTTGAGCGATTGTCTTGCGGTAATTTTTTATAGGGTAGCTGCATCCCTTCTACCAAAGGTCGGATACTCTGGATCTATGTGAGTGACCCCCACTGCACGTGCAAAATACAAAAAGAAGAGGTGCCAAATTCGTTCCCATTTCAGTAACTCGGTAATTACTGGGGCGATTTCGCTGAAACTTGGCATACAGGTAGGCACCCACCAGGTAATGCATTCCCATGTGTTGCGGTTAGGGTGCTACTGCACGTGCGCACGTGCAGGGGGCGTTTCCAGATCTCGAGAACAGCTGGGCCGATTGCGCTCAAATTTGGTACACGGTTGGGGACCGGTTAGTAGGGTGCCATGCAAAAGTCATTTTGGACCCCGTTTGCACAAGCGCACGTGCAGAATGCCGCTTCCAGATCTCAGGAACGGCTGGGCCGATTGCGTTCAAATTTGGCACACCGCTAGCGACCGGTTAAAAGGGTGCTTTGCAAAAGCCCGCTGGAAGTGTCCTCTCGCCCTTCCGCACGTGCTGGGCTCACTATCTCGCTCGCTCGTTCTTCGGCCAAAAGGCGTTTTAAGGCCGCCGTCCACTGGTGCGGAACGCGTGCGGTCCGTACGGAATTTAACACAGAGCCCTATGGGCGCATCCGGTCCGTACGGAAATCGTGTGCGCTCCGTCCGGACCGCATCCGAACGGCAATCAACTGTTGATTTTCCGTCAGCTCTCCGCATGCGTTTCGGATGCGGTTGCTACGGAGACGGGAGAGTGATGTCCGACGCGTTGAACTTTTCCGCATCCGGAACGTCCGGAACAGACGTGGTTTGGGGCCGTGTCGGAGGCAAACATTGTGAATTGTACTGAGAATTGGAACTCGATCATCATGAAGTAAGTAAAAATTATTTCCTTAGAATGGCAAGAGTATTCGCTGCTGGTTACTTGCAATATTTTATTTGGTAATAAGTGATAGGAAACATTATTTTGGTTGCATGTTACAATTGGTGCATAGAGGATGCTTATGATTTTTTTGGGTAAGCAGAGGGCATTTTGTTTTAATTGTACCACAAACACCACAATAAATATGCTGTTTTATGCATTCCAATGAGCGACAAAAAAAAAACATGCCTGTTAATTAGTAACAGGCAGATAAGTGGTGCATAGAATATCGCACATTACCCTGAATTTCTGGAAGGGGTTCAGGCTGAGAAAGCTAGAGTGCATACATCTATGAAGCATGTTAGGTGCCAATCATATGATGTACTCATTTTCATTTTTGTAGTTAAAACCATCTGGAAATAGATTTGATGTTAGTTTGAAGGGTACGAGGACTCCCAGTCGCTACTGAGTGCATGGACCCAATATAATTGTTAGTAGGCATACAAAAGGTCTGAATAGGCGGGTAGGTTGCAGGTTAAATTGTAGTGGGTTGTTAGGCCTTATGCTGGAAGGTTTTAGGTTGATAGGTTGTAGGTTCGTAGGTTGAAAGATTTACGCTCGTAGGCTGGTAGGCAAGGTTAGGTCAGGCTAGATTATGCTTATATATTTGCTCGGAGTTCTGACTTTTCCTACACTTTTACCCCCAAGATGTGAGGTAGAAGTAAAGCAGACATCACACATGTTTTTTTTTTTTGCAACCAAGGTGAGGTGCTTTAGGTTGTTCAGTTGTTAGGTTGTAGGTAAGGTTAGGTCAGAGTTGGTTAAGTTTGGTTTGGTTGGCTAGAAAGCATCTCTGGGTATAGCGCCTTTCCTTGGTTGCAAAAAAAGTGTGACGCATGCTTTATAACTACCAAGTACCAGATGTGACTTTCGTCCTGTATCAGTATAGCAGATTCATGGTTGATGAATGATATCCCCTGCAGTTCCACATGTGGTAGAACAATTGGCTGAGCATTGCTGTGCAGTTTCAACTGGGGTTTCCTGAACATACCCTACACAGTACACATAGTCATACAATTCATAGGTATTTAGTCCATTCTGCATGGATAAGTCAAACCAAAATGCAAAGGTACTGAATGGATTTGATTAGGATAATTTTATCAGCTTTGCTTTGCCGACACATACTTTGTAGTTCCTGACAATCACCACCTACTCATGGTGGGTGCCTTCTTCCTGAGCCTTTGATAATACTTATTGGTGTGCTGCCAATAGTAGGTAGGTGGGACATTCCACGATAGATCGTACCACTTTTTTTCCAATTTGACACCCTCATCTCTCGGAATTTGACGAGAATTGGTCTCGGGGGTAATCAGGGGCTCTGAATCCACCTGTAACAATTTCAGGCTTATCAGATAAGTATTTTTTGAGTTATGGTGTAGAACATTTTTTGGATCTTGCTTTGCAGCGCTAAGTTTGGCGGGCTGTTACTCTAAGACGGATTATTCAAATGCCAAATGTTATATAACATTGAACTTGCAATGAAACAGAGATTAATATGTATTTTTGAAATTTCGAAAAATACGCTATTTTTCATATATGACATATCGAGTTTTCTTTCATTTGTATTTTTAGGACTTTGGGACCATTTTTTTTAATTTTTATTTCTATAAAAAAATATTTGGCTCATTGTTAAGAAGTATGCAAAAAATTAGGAAGGTGTTCTTTCTATAAATGTATTTATTTTACGTCACGATAACGGTTTCGAATAGTGATTTCGGGAGGGAGCTTACAAATGGCGTGGTAAAGCTGCCTAGTGACATCACGGGTTACTGAAATTTCAATTGAAGTCTGAGTCATCTGAAAAAAGTGAAAAGAGGGTTCATTCAACCCTCTTTCCTATAAGCGTGAGGGTGAAAAAGGCTGTTTGGTTCTGACATTGTTTTGGACGCCAATGACCATAGCTGCCCGAGATGAAAGTTACAGGACGCATACATGTTGTCCTCCAGAGGTCTCACAACTTGTATGTCTGGGAATTTTTCAAGGTTACATGAAGTCAGGTCGGTCACGTGACATCACTGTTATAAATCAATGGGGAAATATAAAAAAACTGTTATTTTGGCGCCGAGAATGATTAAAAACTATCCCACGTACATGGTATCGTGATTTCATGCACTCCTTGCAAAGTCCAATGCTTTACTTTTGCATTGTTAACCTTGCGTGACGTCATTTATGACGTCACTAGGGTCGTAAGAGTTTTTCGTCAATAACTCCCGATCAAATGGAGCTAGAGAGTCGGGAAAGCCACCAATGGACTCGGGAAGACCTTCCGAATCGAATGATATGCCATATGCTACCCTTTGCCCAGCTTCGTGACCTGAGGGGCTCTGACCTGACCTTGACCCGAGGTCAACTGCTTAAGTTGACCTCACCCTAACAAAAGTATACCATTCGATGCACCTGAGCTAGGCGAACACAATGATGCCAAAATCGCGGCTCTGCGGCCATTTTTTGCGAAGTTATTTACTAAAAACCGAACCCGTAACTTCAGTCACGTGACCTGACCTCAGACGCTACCGGTTAACCTGAGACCTTAATATTGGGTACCAATCGCTGCGACTTGTAACGGCACACACGCTCGTTTTTTCCGCGAGGCTCTAGCTCTATTAGAAGCGAAACGGCGTGCTGGGGTCGTATCAACCCCTCCGAAACCCATTTTGTTTGCGGGAAAATGAGGAACTTATAGAAAGAACACCTTTCTAATTTTTTTGCATGTCGATTTGCAATGACATGAAGATTATTTTGAAAAAAATAAAATGTGAAAAATTTTGGTCCCAAAAGTCATTAGAGGCAAATGAAAAAAGATTAAGGTTTTTGCTCAACAATGAAATTTTTTCTTCGGAATTTTTAAATACTAATATTAATTTATGATTCATCGCTAGCTTAGTGTTGTTTACTTTTTGTTGGTTGCCTAACCCGTTCTTGAATTATAGGCCATCAAACTCACCGTTACATACCGAAGTTAAAAAAATGTAATGCAATATAACTCAAAAAGTTTTGATCTGAGAAGTCTGATATTTTGCCAGGCGTCTTTGGGGCCTATGATTACCCCCAAGACCGGTTTTCATTAAAATCTGAGAGATGAGGGTGACGGGCCTGGTACGATCTATCGTGGAATGCCCCAGGTATAACATTCCAATTTTGGGAAGGTTTCTAGGTTGTATTCTGTGTCTCTCACACATACCGGGTCATGGGTGAGGGACACATAATGGGGTAGAATTGAGCACTTTTCCAAGCATTGTGCCATTTGTGGCAATATCACCACAACCATTAATCCTAGGGCTGTTTGAATTGCCCTTCTGAAGTAGATGTGGTGTGCAGTTTAAAATGTCCTTCTGAAGTAGGTGTGGTACCCAAGGCAGTGTCAGTGTTTTGAGTCAACATGTCATTTACATGTTTTCATGGTGTTTTCATAACATTTTGCTAGGTACCAATTTGTTTTCATCATTGCTTTGACAAAAAGATGGACCATTCAACACTGCTCGTGCCATGCCTCTCATAATTCCAAAACTTGGTTTTATATGTTTGTGCAACAGCTAAAAGATAACTTTAAACATTAGAATGGTCAACTCTCATCACCATACTAGAAAATTGTAATTTTCCATCAGTGCCATGGGTCAAGTCACAGATGAGATTTATTTCCTGCCTACATATACTCGAGGGCAGCGCTTTTCGAGGAGCGCTGTGGCCCGAAGGTTTGGACTTTGAATTGTGAAAAACGCCCGCCCGCCACAAAACGCAAACACCGCAAAACGCGCAAAACGCACTCCCGAAACGCCAACGCAAAGGTCGCAAAAAATAAACAAACGCCCGCCCGCCACAAACCGCAAATAAAAAAAACGCCGCAAAACAATAAAACCGCCCGCACCGCCCGCCCGCTAACCGCCAACCGAAAACGCCTAAAAATCGCCCGCCCGCCGCCAAAAGCAAACACCGCAAAAAAACGAAAAAGCGGCCGCCAACGGCAAACAAATTTAACACCGCAAATGACGCAAAAAAAAGAAAACCGCCCACCCGCCGCCAAAGACAAACACCGCAAAAAAACACAAAACTCCCGCCCGCCGCAAAACGTTAACACCGCAAAACGTGCAAAACGCACGCCCGAAACACCAACGCAAACGGCGAAAAAAATCGCCCGACCGCCGCAAACCACACAAAAAACGCCGAAACGCCGAAAAAAAATAAAACCGCCCGCACCGCACCGACGCTAACTGCTAACCGAAAACGACTGAAAGTCGCCCGCCAGCCGCCAAACACAAACACCGCAAACAAGCGCCCGGCCGCAGCAAGACAATTCATCAACGACTGGCATGCCGTTAGGTTGGTCATTTTCGCAAATCAAAAAGATATCTGCAAAAATCTCCTAGATGAAAGCGCCCGAGTAAAAAACGGATGGCAGTGCGTGTTCCTCGCCCCCAACTTCCTTCAGGTCAATCGTCATTTGGGTCACCTAACGCATTGACGACCGTCTGGGTGGAATGAACATTGCGCCAAGAAACGTAAGTATATTGTCAAAAAGAATCCCCAGAATGGTGGATCCCAAAAGTTTGAAACTACCACTTTGACCCACTGGACGACACCTTAAACAGTTGCCAACCGGATGACACCCATTGTTTGGTCACCCACGCCATACTATGCATCATGGGTGCGCCGAAATGACCAAAAGTCCCAATTTCCGGTGTGCAGGGTCATTTTCAACGGCACGTGGCACGTGGTTCTGGACTTTTCCGGCCACTTTGCGACATAGGTACCCATGGGTAGTGCACCGAATGGTGGTTGATCCGCATGGAAGAAAATGGGGGGTCGTTTGGATCGTTTTCGAGCAATCTGCCGTGGAACGCATTTTTTCATTTTGCCCATTGGTTTAACACGGGAATTTTCAAAGTCACGTGGCACGTGCACCAGATGGTCCGCGGAGGGGAGACCCACACCAGAACGTAGATCACCTGGCCCACTAGAAATCCTGAAAAAAATCAGAATTTTTGGAGCAGCCGTTTTCTAGAGCATCAAGTTGTACTGATCTCAGGCAGCTTTTGCCAAATTGTCAGGGAACTCAGATTTGTTTTTCAATAGAAAAACACAATTCTAAAGAATAGTGTTTTAACTATTGACAACAAACCTTCGGTTACCATTATGCTTCATTGTATGTGTTTTTGTCTTTCTTATCTGTGAGTATCATGTTCTCTTGTTTCAGCATGCCAGGTGACAGTGCACTGGTTTTATTTGTAAAGGAAAACCCGTGCTTGTGGCAGCCCAAACACAAGGACTATTTCAATAAAACTGAAGCCAGAGCATTATGGGAGCGGTGTGCAGCTACTACTGGCCGTGAAGGTTAGAACTGTTTGTGACGATGCTATTAAGGTCACATTTATGTACATCAGCAAACTGAATAGCTGTACAGCAAACACCACGCATAACATTACCAGGCGCGCACACAGGATTTTTGAATGGGGGGGGGGGCACGACCTTCGAACTGGGCCCCCCATGCCGAAGGGCCCTCCCCCCCAAAAAAATACGGCCCACGGGGCTATATTTCGGTTGGTTTGAAGCTTGAGCAATTGGTTTGTCAATGCATGGTAGGTAAAACAATTATTTCGGTACCAGCTTAATTTTCAAAACATATATATTTTTACGCTAGCATGTTTTTTAGCATGTTTTTTTTCGCGGACCCCGGGCCTGTGAGTCACCCGGGGGCCCGGGGTCAGCTCAGGCAAGGATGTATCCAGGACCTTTCGATGGGAGGAGGAAGGCACGGTGGGTTCAGTCTCACTGGCAGACGGGTCTCTTTAAAACGGTCTTTGCATGAGAAAATGTGGAAAATCGGCAAGCAAAAGTATCATTTATGCCCGAGGAGTGTGCCTAATGTACACTAATGCCTAATTTACATAGTATTTTACGAGCGAGCGAAGCGAGCGAGCTCCTCAGAGTCACCGGTGTGTGGCGCGCTCAGAGGTGCCAGTGAAAGGCCGTCAGATGCGCTGGTGTTGGGTCCTCACAGGCGCCGTTGCGGGGTCTTAGGGCTTAGAGACACTGGTGGGGCCATCATTGGCATTGTGTGGCCCTGCAAAATGGCCCGCAAGTGGAAAGTCGCCCGTCATAGGCTGGCAAGGACACTCGGAGGCTGGTAAGAGGCCCTCAGAGTCACTGGTACGTGGCCCTCAGAGGCGTCGGTGTGGGGACTCTCAGAGCCGCCGATGTAGGCCCGTAAGATGCGCTGGTGGGGGTCCCTTGGAGGTGGGGCGAGATGCCTCGCAGTTGCCGTTGTGGGTGCCTCTGGAAACACTGGTGTGGACCGTGTGTCTATCACAGACGGATGTGGAGCCATAGCAGCCAATCCCTCGTTGGCCGTTACTAGGGCCCTGAGCGGCCGGCGAGGTCTCTCAGAAACCGGCATTGGGCCTTTATGAAGATAATTGTGGCTACATAGGAGCCAATAACGTGCCCCCACAAGCCCTGTGGTGTCCTTCCGAGTTGAAGTGCGGCCAGCGCGAACCCTCTGCTACCAACTGGCGCCGCAGGGCCCCTCGGTTTCGAAGGAACCCTAAACCCGAGAACGGGCACGTACCCCCTCGCTCCCTTGCTATGTCACTGAATCCAAGTGATTAGGGGCCTTTTAGGTAATCAGGGGCCTTTCAGATGACCAGGGGTTTTCAATTGATCAGGGGCCCACCAGGTAACCATGGGCCCCTCTGGTAACCAGGCGCCCCTTAAGTAACGAGGAACCCCATCAATAACCAGGGCCCCTCAGTAAACGGGGGCCACTCAGGTAAGTGTAGGAGTCCCGCAGAAGGGCCGGCAAGGTTTCTCAGGTCCGTTTTTTGACAAGGCTCTTATTGACTCAGCTGTGAGCCCTTTGCCATCAGGAGGGGGCCCTTTCAAGCCTTTTGAGGGCCGTTTAACGTCTCTTGAGTTCCCATTGAGGCCTTCTAAGGGCCCTTTGAGCAGTCGAGGGGCCTTTGAGGCCCTCTTGACGTCAGCTGAGGACCGTTGGACGCCAGCTGAGGATCATGTTTTTGGGCCTTCTGATGGCCATTAGACGCCAATGGATGACCCTCTGACACCAACTGCGGCCCTCTGACACCAGCTAAGGGCACTTTAAGTTTGACGCTAGCTCAAGGCCCTTTGACGCTCTTTAAGGCCTTCTGAGGGCCCTTGAGGTCTTCTAAGGGCTCCCTGAGGCTTTCTAAGGGTCCCTTGAGGCTTTTTGAGGGCCGCTTGACGCCAGCTGAGGACCGTTTGAGACCTTCTGATGGCCATTTGGCGCCAGCTGGGGGCCATCTGGCACCAGCTGGGGGCCCTCTGTCACCAGCAAAGGACTCTTTAGAGCCTTCGGAGAGCCGTTTGACGCAAGGGCATGGCCCTCTGACGCCAGCTCAGGGACCTTTGACACCCTTTAAGGCCTTCTGACGTCCATTCGACGTTAGCTGAGGGCCCTTTCAGGCTATCTGAGGGCCCTTTAAGGCCATCTGAGAGTCCTTTGAGGTCATCTGAGGGCTCCTTAAGGCCATCTGAGGGCCCTTTGACACCATCTAAGGGCCCTTTGACACCAGATGAGGGCCCTATGACGCTAATTGAGGGCCCTTCGAGGCCATCTGAGGGCCTTTTGAGACCATCTGAGGGCCCTTTAAGGCCATTTGAGGGCCCTTTGTACACGATCTTCGGTGGTCTAAGGATTAGTTAGAGGCCCATTTGAGGCGGCCTTCGGCCGCCTCAAATGGGCCCCTTCTTTCGAGTTGGGCCCCCCAACTCGAATGGGGGGGCACGGGCCCGTGTGCCCCCCCCTTGTGTGCGCCCTTGAACATTACAGATCAGGTTTGAAGTGTTGACAGTGATTGGTCACTTAAGTTGTCAGATGTCCGCTTAGCTCTGGCTGGGGCCGCCAGTTAATAAAATAGTATGATTAACCTTCCTCTTTTGAAACGCCTATCATCCATTGTTCATTCAGCACTCGCCATGCTATGTTATGCACCATGCCATATGTCTGTGCTTTCAGGAAATGAGGCGAAGAAGAGATGGCGCAACTTACGGGACTACTATACAAAGAGACGAAAACAGCAACCGAGCGGATCTGCGGGAGCGGTACCGCAAGACATGCCCTCTTGGATGAGAGAGATGGGGTTCCTGGACGACGCCGGTAACCCCAAACCGTGAGTTTTGCTGTATTGGGAACTGTACTAATTACCAATGTGATTCTTCTAGATGGCGTGCCATCGGCACATAGGTGGCAGCACATGACGTTCATATAGCATTATCGATGCCTGGCATGGTCATTGGACATGATAATTAGCTTCTCGCAGCAGGTATAGTGATCGTTAGCGCGGCCGATTCAACCGTGGCGGCGCACGAGGGAGGCCGGCCAGACTTGTTCCCTTCCCCATTCCTAATATCCTGTGTCCCTAAAACGGTCTCATTAGATCATGACTTATGAAACAACACTGACAAAGCATTATAATTGATAACCATGGGATCCTCCGTTCTTCGTTCTTCGTTCTTCCTCATTCATTCACAGTCACACCGTTCTGTTTTTTTTTTTCACACCGTTTCCGTCGGCTTGTCCAATTGGATGGGCTCAGCCCCGGCGACTGAGTAGGATTCCTGCCCAGACCGATGTCTCCCTCTACTCTTTGCGATCGTCCTGGCTCTGCAATGGTCTCGATGGAGCGCAAGAGCATCACCCAACAAAGCAAAACAAACATCATGCATCCTTCGTGATTATGTTATCATCCTTTCCTTCACAGTGTGCTGACAAACCTGGGTGTTCAACAGTCCTCAACTTCCGATTCGAACGCGGTACGTTTCTGACCTTGGTTTCTTAACTATATGGCTGCAGACTGGTCAAAGAGACCCTGGGAGTGGGGACTGTGTACTATGGTCCCAGCTTTCAGCAGAAGCTGATACTAGAATCTTTCATGAAAATGACTGATCTTATTTTTAATGAAAGATACCACTTCTTAACCCGCGCCCCGTAGGGCTGTCAATTCTACACCTTTAATGTCTTGATCATTTTTCTGTATCTTCAAAGCTGTAGGCCTGACAGCTCTTCTCGCGAAATTCTTTTTTCGGTCGAAAATGGCAGAACATGACGTCATTCTGACGTCATTTGCGGCCAACCTATCATATCCTCTGGAAAATGTTTGGTCACAATGTGCAGAATTGATGCGTGGAGGGGTCCTGAAAGTTTGGTGGCGATATCTCCAGCCGTTTAGGAGATATCGACGGAAAAGGACAGGGGGGCCGTTTCGCCCCCCCCCCCCGACGGGGCGCGGGTTAATAATGGAAGTGAAATTCTTGTTTAGTATACAAGTGCAGTTCCTTCGACTTATCTACATGCACATTTTTCTCTCGTCGGACGGTGCTAAATCTGGTGCTGTTTCTGACCGGTTGTGCTCTCATTTGTTTGTTTTAGTCATTCGACTGGGAAGATCAGTTGGAGATGAGCGAGACGCAGTCATTGTTCGGCGACGATCAGGCTCAGTCCGGCGACAGGTCAGGTAGGCAAGTGCACTGAGGGCGCTGGGTACTTTTATAATGTGCAGTGTGCCGTGCACGAATCTTCAATCGATTTGGTACATTGGTGCAAGGATCTATTTGGCTATTGGCTTGATGAGTCTTGCATTGTTTGCGAGCATTCTTACAACAGGTGAAAAAGTTCATCGCAATATCACGTGGCGGCAAGCCGCTCTGGGTTCTACTATGGACGTCAAACCCCTTGAGACCCCACTTTTTTGCGATAATTTTTAAATGCGTGAACTCTCGTTGACGATATTCTGGCAATGTGTGTTTTAGAACCTGTCGAAACTTTTATTACTAAGGTATTTTGACGCCAAACGATCATGAAAGGGACTTCTCATTCACTCGTAATGTTAAATTTCACGGAACGAATCTGCTGTTTGGGTAAAGGATACGCGCTCATGGGGTGGAGCCACGTAATGACATCAGCGCTACGCTCCGCCCTACCCCTCCGGCGCTTCTTGCCCGGCGACCGGTCACTCGCTTCTCGCGCTCCGTCCAGGCGTGATGGTGGGCGGTAGCTGGTAGCGGTAGCGGGCGCTGGTAGATGGCATTTAGAACAGATGGCGCTGGTGGCGGGGCTCGAGTGTGGCCGAGCGCAAGCCTCTGCCCGGGCCTGAATTGACCTTAGCATTACGAGTGAATGAGAAGTACCTTTCATTATCGTTTCGTGCCAAAATACCTTTGTAATAAGTGTCGGCAGGTTCTGAAACACACATTGCCAGAATATCGTCAACGAGAGTTCACGCATTTAAAAATTATCGCAAAAAAGTGGGGTCTCGAGGGGTTTGACGTCCAATAGTAGGTGTGGTATTAATAATAAATGAATCTAACAGTTTCAGTACGAGTGAACGACGTGCAATACAAATCGGCATTATCATTTTATAAGCACGAAGCAATAACAGATCACCTATGTGATCCGTCTTGTACGCTAATTGATATTTAGATTGGGGTGTACTTTGCAGTGATGTCTGGTGGCGCGGTGCCGCCGTCGCCGCCGGCCTCGCGGCGCTGGTCGACGCCGGTCGGCAGCGCGTCCGGGTCCGCCACCGCAGTGGCGCAGCCAGGATTTCATTTCGGGGGTCATCGCCTTCAAAGCGGGCCCCCTGGTGTGCGGGCCCCCCACCCATTTTCAAAATCTATCCATATTTCATAGGCATTCTGTTGAGCGGGCCCCTTTTACATGCACGATAACCCCGAGAGTTTGAATCGGAAAGTTTTGATTGAAGCTCGGTAATCACCCGGTGTTCAATTGACGCAAACTGATCACTAGCTCTGTGATATTGAGCCCAGTGAGCATGCCTCCTAAATAGGGCCGAAATGCAAGATTGGTCATTTCACGTCGACTCCGCGTGCAAATTACATTAACTTGGCGATAGAGGCGACCTCCGCCCCGCCAACAGGAGGTGCCCGGCACACGAGGGAGGGGCACAGAGGGCGCTGGCACCTCTCTGAGGTTAGATAAGCGCCCGCGGCCGGGCCAGCAAACAGCACCGTCCACCCCAGCGAGGACATTGCTCCCCTCCACAGTGTGTGAGCGGCACGCCACACCGAGGCCGCTCTCGTTTTCGTGCGTGCGCGCTGAAGCCGCTGCGATCATCCCCCGAGGATGGGACGCTCCACACGCGGAAGGGCATCCGGTAAGTCACGCATTTACCTGCTGGCGTCTCCCCCTTGTGTCCAGGCTGTCACGAGCGACGCCACTACCAGCCATCTTTAGTCCCGCGGGCGCTCCGTGCCTGCGTACTGACCCCCCTCGTATTGTTTGTGTTGGACATTTCAGAGCGGTCCACGTTCCATTTGCGTGTCGATTACTGCCGTGGCGATCACGTGGCGATTGCTGCCCCTTTGTTTGTCTTTCACCGCCGACACGTCCCGCGCCGTCACGCCGCAGCTGCGTCCCATGCTTATGTCATGTGAGTTTCTCGGACGGCCAGCCCGCCATGCCCTACTAACGCACCATCTCACCCGTCGCCGGTGAGATTTCCCGTCTGCTATTATGCCGTCACGCCGCCGTTGACAATCCACTATCTCGCCCGTTGCACGGCCTGTCCCGTCTGTCATACGTGGTCAAGCCGCTGCTGACTACCTCTTCTGTCACACGGACTGTTCGTCTGTCAATTACACCGTCACGCCGCCGACAGACCTCGGTCTTGCCGCCGCCATCCCTGCCTCGCCCGTCACCCAACAAGTCACGCCGCCGCTGACATACCCAACTGTCACGCCCGCTACGTTCGTCGTCACCGCTGTCGTGCCGCCGCCGACAGCCCACCGTCACACCTGACGCTACCGCTGGCTGTCCTGCCGTCTGCCACGACCCGCCCGCCGCCTGGCCGCCCCGCCGGCCGCCGCCCGGCCCCCCCCCCCCCCCAACCCGTCCGCCGCCCGCCGGCCGCCGCGCTGTCTCTCCGAGCCGGACTGTCACCTGCCACCGCCTGAGGCCGCCGGCCGTGTCTTTGTCTCCCGGCGGCCCTCCCTCCCACCAGCTCCGCCCCGCCGCGCGCACCCCGGCCTGGCTACCCTCTCGTCCCGGGCCGCCGCCCGCGCCCCCTAGTCGCCCGTCCGTTTGCTTAGCGCTGCCTTTCCCACCGGTGCCCATTCTATCGCGCTCGCCCTGCTCTCACCCTCGCGTCCCTCGTGGAGTAGTAGTTAGCGCCGCGGGTATTGCCGTGCGTAGACGGCTCTTGTCGTTAAGGCGGCCGGTTCGATTCCGGGAAGGGTTGGTGTTTTTGCGTCGCGACGAGGCCAATTCTTTTTCTCACAGTGACTCTACAATTTCCCCTCGTCTTTCACCAGACAGCCGGTCGTTAACTCATTAAACGTCCTTGCCAGCACATCCCTGCCCCACGACCACTGCCGATAGACGGCTCGCTAACCCAATCACGATCTCAATCATAACATCACGACCTCCCCAGTTCCCTGCGCGCCGCGCCCGCGGTCGGCTGCGACGCCGGGAGCTCCGCTCCGCTGCGGAGCCTCCCTACCCGTTTTTCACCTCGCCTACTCCTTTGAGCGTGTTCGGAGTGAGTGAGGAGTGATTGAGGTGGTGTGATTGCCTACCGACTCGACAGCTTCGCAGACGCCGTTATGCACCGTGATCTCGCTCGGCACCTGCTGTTCCTGGTTTTTACCTACCTGCTTGTGACGTCTGCGACACCGGCCTCATCTCACGACCGTCGCTCTGCACCGCTACTACCCGCACCGTGTCGTCGCTCTGCGCACCGATGCGGTCGGCACTCTGACCTGCCCCAGCACACCCTGGCTCCGCCGCCCTGCCACCGCGGCGGTGACCTTGACCGCTCTGAGCGGCCGCCGGCTGGACGCGCTACCCGGCGTGGCAGGCGCGGCGCCAGCGCCAGGCGCCGGGGGTGCAGGGGCGGGCAGGCCTGGCGGCGCTCGTCCGTCAGCGGCAATCAGCGGAATCTGCTAGTCGGGATGCTCAACATCCAGTCCCTTCTGCCCAAGACTACTTCGCTGCAACAAGACCAGCTGCGACGATACGACTTTGATTTTTACGTTCTCACTGAGACCTGGCTTCGATCCGCCACTGTGAGCCGACTCGTCACCTTCCCCGGGTACAGTCTGTACCGTGCCGACCGTCCCGGGGACGCCGGCTACGGGGGCGTGGCTGTCCTGGCGCGGGACAGCTACCAGGTCACTGTCATCGACCAGCCATCACCTGACTGTACAGACTGCCGACTCGAGTCCCTGTGGCTCCGAGTCAAGCCAGCGGCCGGCCGGCACTTCACCATCGCCGCGGTTTACCGGCCGCCGCGCCGGACAGCCGCCGCACTCCGGGCCGACTTCGACGAGTTGGAGCTGCAATACCAGCGAGTGCTTCTCCACCATCCCGGCTCGATTATTGTCATGGGAGACCTGAACTGTAATCTTTTAGACACCGACCCGAACCCCAGTAAAGACCGTATCTGTGATATGTTTCAGTCTTTTCACCTTCATCAGTTTGTTGATCAGCCCACATTCTCATCCGGATCGCTTTTAGACGTTGTGTTTTCTAACTCTGATGACCTTGTCCGGCGCGTGGCAGTTTATCCGTGTTCTTTTAGCCCCCACAACTACGTTCGTTTACTTTTATCTATTCCGAAGTGTCGTAGTAAACCTGCTCGTATTCGGTCGCGATCGCTAAAACGTCTATGTCGTCCTGACCTGCTTAATGATTTGCACCGTGTAGACTGGTCTGGTATTTTTAGCAGTGTTTCTGTCGCTTGTATGTGGTCCTATTTTACCGATCGTTTCTTACCTGTTATTGACGCGCACGCTCCTTTCCGGTCTATGACGATTCGGAACCCCACCGCGCCGGCCGTTACCGCTGCGACACTACAGCTCATGTCAGAGCGGCGGGGTGTGCTGCGCCGCGAGGGGAGGTCACCGGCTTTTCGTGACCTTGACCGGAGAGTGAGGTCTGCTGTCCGGCGTGACTGTCGTGCGGACATAGAGGTCAGACTGCGAGACCAGGGGAGCAGTTCTCTGTACCGTGTTGTCCGCCCAGTCATCGCCGGAAAGCGGAGTGCCTCTCCCCGTCTCCCCTCTGCCACACCGGACGAAATGAACTCGTTTTTTGTTAACGTTGGACCTCGTGTGGCGGCCGGCCTGACGGACCTCGGGCCGCCGCCCGTTGTCCCGTGCCGGCTGCCGCGAGTGGGTGCGTGTGGGTACCGTGTGTCTGGCGTGACTCTGGCCGAGCTGCGGGAGGTGATGTTCTCCATGAAGCGTTCCGGTGCGTGCGGGTCTGATGGTATATGTGTCCGTATCCTTATCCTATCTTTTGACGTCATCGGTCCCATCCTTCTCCACATTATCAACACTTGCCTTACCTCCTGCGATATCCCCGCGGCCTGGAAACACTCCCTGGTGCATCCTATTTTCAAGTCTGGCGATCCTGCCCTTATTCCCAATTACCGTCCTATTTCCATCGTTCCTGTCATGGCCAAGATTGTCGAGCGTGTGGTGCAGCGGCAGCTGTTTGCCTACATGTCCGACAATCACCTCCTCTCCACTTCCCAACACGGCTTCCGTCCCAATCATTCCACCGAGACCGCCCTTCTCACTGTCACTAACCGCATCCTTCACAACATGGACCGCAGTCAGCTGTCACTCCTATGCCTTTTGGACCTCAGTAAGTGTTTTGACGTTATACCCCATCCTCTGCTCCTTACCAAACTTCAGCAGTACAACATTGATCCTACCTGGTTTTCCGCCTATCTCTCCGGCCATACCCAATCCGTCTCCATCGCTACCTCCTCCGGTGACAGGGTGGTCTCATCTCCCCTTCCTAACACCATGGGAGTCTTCCAAGGCTCATTCTTAGGTCCTCTCCTGTTCACCATCCTCTCCAACGACCTCAGCCTTCACGCGCCGGACGCTCATGTGACCCAGTACGCTGACGATACCCAAATCCTGATATCCGACTCCAAACGCAACCTTCCTTCCCTTATCCATCGCATGGAAACCACTCTCCAAGCCCTGTCATCATGGTTCCATGCCCATGGACTCAAGCTAAATGCATCCAAAACCGAAATCCTACTCCTTGGCACTCGTCAGAACACCCGCGGCCTATCCCCTGTCAGCGTACGGGTCGGTGGGGAGACCGTTCAGGAGAGCCCGTCCGTTAAAAACCTTGGCGTGCTTTTCGACCGTCACCTGACTTGGGACGACCACGTCAGTGCTGTTGTCCGTCAGTGTGTTGGCCTCCTGATCGGTCTCCGCCACCTGAGGCATCTCCTCCCGCGGCATGTGATGCGCACGGTGGTTGACGGCCTGGTCCTCTCGTGCGTGAGGTACTGTATTGCGATTTATGGCTGTGGCACTTCCAAGAATGACGCTAGACTGATGAGCGTGGTTAACTTCGCCACCAGAGTCGTCACTGGCCTGCGGAAGTATGACCATGTGTCTCGCGCGCGGGAGGAGCTTGGTTTTATCTCCCCTCGACTGATGTGTGACGTGTCCACCATGACTGTGGCTCAGAAGGCGATTGTGTGCGGGGAGCCCACGGACATCTCATCCCAGTTTGTGACATTTGTGGACTCACGTCAGCGCTGTGATCGTGGTACCCGGCAGGACCGGCGGCTGCGGCCTCCACTCATGCGTACAGCCGCCGGCCAGCGGTCTTTTACCTACCGTGCCGCATCACTCCTGAACGAACTGCCTGCGAGCACATTGGAGCTGAACCCGGCACGCTTTAAGCGAGCAGTCAAGTCGGTGGTGTGAAATAGGGGTGGGGAGGGTGGACGGGGTTAGCATTTTCTGACGATGAGTGTTGTTTGACTGTGTGCCTGTTTTTACCCCTCAACCATATTTCCCGGTGATCGTTTTATCTTTTGACTTGTGACACAGAATAGCCACAATGAGTGATGTGGAGTTGTCAGCAATTGTCAATACAATACAATACATGTTCGACTGCGTCCTTCATATCGTATGCCGGGCAGCCATCAGGCCCAGATGTTTCGCGGTACCCCCTTTTTTGTGCCCCTAGTCGTCGTCACCTGCCCGTGCCAACCGTTTCACGGCCGCTTACAGGCCCCCGCCGCTCCGACCCGGTCGTCGAGCCCACCGCCGCACCGCCGGAAGCTTTGGAGACGCCGCGCCCCGCCGGGCCTGCCTCACCTCCAATCGAGGCCACCAGCGACAGCGACACTCTGCCGCTCTCCGACGTCGACTCCACACCGTCCGACGCAGACACCCCCACTTCTGACTCCGAGTCCGGGTCAGACTCGCCTGCCCCGCCACGCCATAAGCGGCGGAGAGGAGACGCCCGACATAGTCGAAAGACCAACCCGCCGCCCAGTCCTGGGCCGACGGTGGAATTTCTTCGCGCAAGCAAGGCACCATTAAAGTCCACACAACCGCCGCCACCGCGCCGTCTTAAGCTGCCCACGGTCGCCCCGGATACTCTTAGCCGCCTCCGCAACCGCACAAAGGTTGTGGACATCAACGACCTACTACACCCGCGCCCATTTGGAGGTCGCGGCGGGACTGCACCAGCCCAGTCCTGCACATCTACGGCCGACTACCTGCGCGGGCTCGCCATCCTGGTCGCCTACCGCTCCTACTTTTTCCCGACGATGGCCGTCCAATGGGCCATGTACGCGGTGTGGCTGCACGGTCACGCAGCCGGCCTCACCCTGTCGGCACTGAGGGAGCTGGACGGCCAGGGACGGACGCACCTAGCACAGTACCCGCAGGACTACCACAGCCCGGCAGAGCTCACCGAATGCGTGCAAGGGTTCCTGGCGTCCCGCCGCTCGCTCTCAGGCTTTCCGCTCGGTCCCGACACCGCCGGCCGCCGTCCGGCGCCGCGCCCCGGCCTCCCCGAGCCGTGCTTCCGCTGGAATAACGGCCGGTCCGGTGCTCTGCCGGCGCCTCATGTCGACGCCCCCACACATGCACCAGCTGCGGCGGCCCGCACCCAGCCCACGCCTGCCCCTCAGCCCAGGGAAACGCCCCGCGCCCGCTAATGACACCCCTAGCGGGCCGCTACTAGCTCCAGGCCGCGCGGCAGCCACGGTGGGTAACGCCCCCGCCTCAGTACCGGACCACCCTCATCCGCCGGTCTCTCCCCACACGCTCGCACAGCTGTCCTCCCCACTCACCGACCCCGCCCTACTGCGCACGGTTACCGACCGGCTACTACATGGGGCGAACATAGGCTACACCGGCCCACTCACCGGCTCACTTCGCCCAAACAACTGTTCGGCGAGCATGTATCCTAAAGCTCTCACGACCGCCTTGCAGCTCGAGATTGCACGGGGTCACGCTGCCGGACCGTTCCCCTCCCCGCCGTTCAACCCTTTCCGCTGCAATCCCCTTGGAGCTCGTGACAAAAAACGATGGTACGGTACGGATCATTCTGGACCTCTCTCAGCCGGACGGTCACAGCGTTAACGACCATATTGACCGCGACACCTTTTCCATACAGTACGTCACCACGGATCAGGCCATTGCCGCTCTGTTTGATTGCGGGCCACGCGGCGCTCTCCTGGCCAAGGCCGACCTTAAACATGCCTTTCGTCTGATACCGGTGCGCCCTGAGGATTGGTGGCTTCTTGGGTACCACTGGCGTGACCAGTACTACTTTGACGTCCGCCTCCCGTTCGGCCTCCGATCGGCATGCGCCATTTTCAACGACCTCGCCGTCGTGCTCCGCGACGCCGTATCCTTCCACTCCAAGAATTCAAAGGTTTTCAACTACTT